TAAAATACTCAAGTTCATGTCTCTTCCATATTCCTGTTAGGGTAGTATTAATAATTTTCTATTGGAATGGGAAAATGTTATACTATAAATATTTGCTAAAATTTTGCAATAAAATTGCTAAAATTTAAATAAGGTTTATTCTTTTCCAAGCATAAGAGAAGTAATTTGAAACTGGACTTGATTTACTTAGAATATGAGCATTTATACCATATTTGTTCATATCTAGCATTCCTTAAGGAAGGAAAATGGTATTATGCATGCAGAAAACTTGCAGATTCTTGGACATTAAGTGATAAATAGTAACAGTGAGGCAGCATCTGCAGCTGTTATGGTGAGCTGGGAAATATGTATTGAGGAAGGAATAAGCAGCTGAGGTTCTGTGTTGTAATTCTTTTCAAACAGTGAAGTGTGTGTGGTAAGGGAGCACCTGACAGGCCATCTCGCAAAAGCCACTAATGGAGAAGGCATAGAAAAAATTGTTCTCAGACATACTTTTCCAGCAAGATTAGAATTTATGGAAATGGCATAGCTTAGAAAAGAATTCCAGTGGGGTACTCTAATGAGGTGGTGGCTAAGGGAAGATGCAACTGGATTTTAATTTTTGATCCACTTGAGAAGGAAGAGAAGTGCTCATGAAAGGTGAGTAATTAAATCTTAACACAAGATCATTGAGAGCAGAGACGGTATCCTGTCCTTTGTATGCTCCTAGCACAGACAGTGTTGGCCCCAGTGGGAACAGCCTTTCCACAGCCTCCTGGAAATTCCTTAACCTTGCCAGGCATAGTGGTGCATGCCAGTAATCTCAGCACAGGAGGATTGCCACAAGTTTGAGGCCAGCCCAGGCCACATAGTTCAAAACCAGCCTAAAATCAATAGACCTTGTCTCAAAATTCCTTACCACCACCAAAATTCCTTAGCTTGACACATACTGCCATCCAAAGGCTAGTCTTCAAGCAACTTTTTGGTTTTCCTCCCATCCAAGTACTAACCATGCCCAACCCTGCTTAAGCTTCCAAGATCATATGAGATCGAGCACATTCAGGGTATATGGCTGTAGACTCAACTTTTTGGATCCCCACCACATCCTCCCCCATGAGACTACTCAACGTTCCTGAAGCTTGCCATATGTTTCCTGCCCAGTGATTTTGGACAGGCTGTTCCCTGCACTTCATATACTCCTGTCTCTGCTGCAGCTCCTGTCACACACTACTTAGGCTGCAGAGACCAGTTTGCTTCTCCTGGTAGCATTCACAGAAACCTTTGCCCACCTCAGATTTAACTCCCTGTTGCAGTTCTTTTGGAGCCTGCACTTGACCTGTGCTTTGTCCTTCATGTAGGTGACCAAAGTGTTCATCCTGCCCCCCACACTGGTGGGAAGGGTCAAGATTTGTAAGAGTCCTTGGGATCTCCACTACTCTGTTACTTTAGATAAATTACTATGTTTACTGGAACCTCAATTTAGAAGATTCTTTTAACCCATTTTACAGGATTAATACACTTAAACATTAAGATAACTATTTGAGAATATTTTTAGTAAACTCGGCAATGTTTGCAAATGGCAATTTTTTCACTACAGATATCAGAGAAAGCAGGTAGGTATGTTTGATACTTCACTGTCCTCTCAGTGAATGTTTGATAATAGCTGCTTTTTATGTTCTTTCCAAAGAAGCTTGCAGAGAGGAGATTTTCAATAATGTTGACGACCAAATTGAAATAATGCAGGGAGCTGGGAGAGCACAGAATGATTCCTGTTGTGGGAAGAGTAACTCAAAGGAAGAGCCTCTGAGGCATTAGTAAATTAAAAATTCAGGGACTGGGTGGTAGGTTGAGAGGGAATGTTCATGAACTAGAGGGCCCTTGGCAAATTTTGCCCACACACTAGAATTCAAGCTCTCATTTGGCTGATAAAGACTTAACTTCCTAAGTCTGACATAATTTGTGTTTTATCAATTTTTTTGTTTGTTTTTGTTTTTTGAGACAGGGTCTTACTATGTACTTGAGACTGACCTGGAATGGACTATGTAGCCAGGCTGGTCAAACTCCTAGCAATCCTCCTGCTTCAGCCTTTTGAGCGTTGGATTACAGGCGTGTACCACCCACGCCTGGCTCTGTTTTATCAAATTCTGCCCTTCACCCTCATTCTAAACACCCACAGATGTGTGTATCTCTATGCCTACGCTTTTCTATTATCTTTTTTAAAAGCATGCCTGTATTATATTGGTTGCACCACAATTTTATGTAACTCTGGACACGAATCTAAAACAAAATAGAACACAAGCAGCAACAATTTAGGCAAGGCTATTTATAATTCTCTAGTGGCTTATTGTCTTCTCAAAAAGGTCACAGATTATCTTGAATATCTATAAATGCAAAGAACCTTTACAAGGAGAATGGGATAACATTTTGAGCTCTTCTATGCAAAAGTGCAATGTAAATGGAAAATGGAACATAATTATCCCTGGGTAGAAAATAGTTTCAGTAATTCTTATCAGATGACCTTAAGCTAAAATGATCTTATTCCACACAGTGAAAATAAAATTGGGAATGAGGTGAAGAGATATGCTTAAGATTCAAGGCCCAAGAAGGGGCTCTTTTCCTTTAATTTTTTTTTAAAAAAATTACGTGCTGTACCACTTAGCTATAAGTTCAAACCCGATATTCTGCATTTTAACTCCAGAGAAATGAAGGAAGTTTGTGGCAATTGTGTAACAGCCATCCTCAGTTATCTTTCTTGGTTTTGAATTAGGGCAGTATTGTCTCCACCCACTGGAGAGGACAAATGATTGTCTAAGGTAGTCATGACCATCCTAACTTTATTTGCTAGATTTTCGGATCATCTTTCTTTAGCTTCTCTGCTCTGGCTTGTAATATGTAAGAGAAATCAGTTGAGTTCTTGTGAGAATTCTATTTCATAGTAAAAATAACCTTCCCTTCAAAGCAAATAATCTTCCCTTTTCTATTTGGGTGAGGACTTGATGCTACAGGAGCCATCTTGTATCCAACAAGAAGCCAAGAGAATCAAGAGAAAGCAGACCAGCCCCCCAACAGGCCACTCACAATCCCTGGAACCTAAATGTTTCACCTTTGCTTTCTAAGGAGTTCTTGTCTTCATGGTTCCCTTTCCCCCTCTCTGGGAGAAAGGTGCCCTATAGTTTCTTGTCTTTAAAGTTAAATAGAGGAAGATTGCCTTGTGAACCATCACTATCAGAATAACTCCAATATGGCAATTCATCTCAAATGTTTCTTGGGACATTTCCTCTGTAACAAGTTGCTTTCGAAAGCAATTCATTGGGATAATGATAAACTTCTGTCTTTTCAAGTTCATACAGTGAAACATTTATCCATTTATTCAGAAAGCCAGTTTATTACAACAGGTACTACTACATTCTAGAGCTATAAACTGGGGCTCCTGCTCTCTGGAGACAAACATAAAATAAATATTCCACCACAAAATAAAGGTGGCTGAGGTCAATGCTACCAAGGGTTTCCTGAGGCTGAGTACCCACAAGGTGCAGTAGGGGTACTGGTAGTGATCAGAGAAGGCTTCTTCAAAGGAGAAACAAACTGAGTCATCATCTATTCTAGCCTATTTCAGGGTTGTTTAGGATTCTTCAATTGAGAAAGGAGAAATAGCGATAGAGAGGAAGAGACAGCAAGAAATGTAGATAGCAGAAATGATGGGACCTGGAGATTAACCAATGAAATGAAACTGGACAACTCACAAGGCCTGGTTTTGTCTACTGGGTGGGTGGAAGCACAACCATCATGTTCTCTACTGCTTTCCGCCAAGTCCTTTCATGTGGGCCATTGCCCCTCCTTCCACAAAGAGGGTATATTTCTCCACCTGTGGAATTAAGGCTGGCCTCCTGACTTGCTTTGGCCAGCAGAATGCAACACAAGTGGCAGATTCCACACCAAGAGCCTAGATCTCATGAAGCTTTGAACACTTGTACTCACTCTTGGAATTCTGCTCAACCTCCATGATAATAAGCCCTGCCAGCCTGCTGGAGGGAGATGTGTGACTCAGCTACTGCCCCTTTGCTGTCACACCCTACAGCCATCTACCAGACCTGAGTGAGCCCATCCTGAGGCATCTGACCTGATCTTTCCTCCAGGAGTTGGGAGCTCTATCTGCAGCAAAGGAATCAGCCAAGATCAGCAGAGCTTGCCTGACCTATATTAGGTAGCAGACCACCCCCCCCACAAGCCCCAGCTACATCCCTGTAAGCAAGTACAGTTGATTGTTGCTCTAAGCCATTAAGTTTTGCTTGGCTTATCACACAGTAGAAGTTAATTGATAAAAACCAGGATAGGGAAAGGGTGTGAATAGTTTGGGGCTTATAGGCAGTTGAACAGATAAGGCTGGAACACGGGACATGAAAAATGTGAAGGTTTTTTTTAACTGCAAGGATAAACTTAGTTTTGCTCGCCATGGTGGGCTCCAAGAACTGGGCATACCTCTCCTCTGTTCTCTTCTTCCTACTCTCTCAACCCCATCTGTACTAGAAGTAAATACTGAAATAATGAAGCACATTCATGACTCAAGTGCAGAGTACGGGATGAATGATGGAGGAATCCTGAACTGCAGCACAGAGAAGGTGGAATGCTCTTGAGTGTTCCGGGATGAATCAGCCCGCCCAGCGCCAGCAGGGAAGCGGCTGCCAGGTCTGGATCCTGAGCTGCAGTGGCTGCCCTCAAGGGGAAGCAAGTGACTGCAGTTGCAGTAATGGATACCTATTTAGGGCTTATGACCCCTCCCTTTCCCCAGATTAATGTCACCCATCAGCACCTTTTAAAAATAAAAAGGGCAAAATCAATAGGAATCTATTCCTCCCAGTATTGAAGATGTATCTAATTGATTGTACTTCTCTTTTTCTTTCCTCCACCGACCCCAAACTAAAATTCACTCACAGAACTAAAGACTCAGGTGTGCTTCAGTACGATGAAGGGGCCAGCAAGCTGGGCAGGCACAGCGGGAGCAGAGAGCTCCAGTGGGCGCCAGGATGGTGGCGGGATACCGGGGTCTCCAGTAGAGCGCGTCAAGCAGGGAGTTGCCCTCATGCTGACGGAGACTGGGCAACAACCTCCCGGGAGCCGCTCCGGGAAAGGGGCGGGAAGTGGGAGGAGCTGGAGGCCGCGCCACTTCCCCGACTCCCCTCGCGCCCTGCCCTTTAAAAGCTGCGGGCCCGGACAGCGCCGGGTCTCGAGCTCCGGGCTCTGAGGATCCCCTGGTTGCGGGCGCGGCCCGGACCGGTAGGCTCGCTCGCCCCGCCGAGGGACGAGCTCCATGCGGCTGCCCACCATGTCCGGGCACTTTCTGCTCGCGCCCATCCCGGAGTCGTCCTCCGACTACCCCCTGCCCAAAGACATCAAGCTGGCTGTGCTGGGCGCCGGGCGCGTGGGCAAGAGCGGTGAGTGGGGCGGGGACCGCGCTTCTGAGATCCAGGGCTTCGGCGGAGGTGGGAGGGCCGGACCGAAGGAACCTGGCCGGGTTGGCCACGGAAGGGTTCCCATCCGTCCTGGCGCCCTTCTGCCCACCTGTTTCTTCGGTGCATCGTGGGCTGTGGCCTCCGTTGGCGCCTGGTCGAGATTGGGGTGCGGGAGGGGGCTCCCTCTGGTCGTGCCTGTCCCAGTACCTCGGAAGGCCACTCGGCTACACCCTAGGCTTTGCAGAACTGTGCGAGCTTTGCGGGCAGTGCGCGGGACTCGGCGGCCCATCAGCACTCGCCCCAGCTCCACCGGAGTGTCCCCAGTTTGCATTCTTGTCCTGTTCCTCCCCGAGTCGATGTTCCTGTTTCCTTTTCAGCAATGATTGTTCGCTTCCTGACCAAGCGTTTCATTGGCGACTATGAACCGAATACAGGTTAGAATAACTTTGTGCTTCTGTTTTTCTGCCTGCATGTTTGTTTTCTGATGCGAGTAAGGGAATTTAAAAGTAAACTCTTCCTTCATATTTCCAGGCAAGTTGTATTCCCGGCTTGTCTTTGTCGAAGGGGACCAGCTATCCCTGCAGATCCAGGACACACCTGGTAGCGTCCAGGTAAGGACTGACTGGAGCGAACAGCTCACCCCTTCCGGGCTACCCGAGCATAGCCAGCCTGTAGGACTGTCCTGAGCAAGACGACTAAATGCCTATGGTGTGCATTTAAATGTAGGGCTGTCTGCTGACAGGTCTGGGATTGGGGTGTTGTAAACTCTCCAATGGAGGGGGTTGATTAGAGGCACCTTTGAGACTGCAGAAAATTAGCAGACCGTGCATCTGATTGGGAACTCCCTCTTCCCTCAGGAATGTTACAGGAGACCTTCCCAGACTCCATATATGGGTCACTGACCTGATGCCTACCTTCACTTTGCAGTCCTGACCCCAGTCAGTCACTAAGGCAGGTCTCACCACTTTCAGAGCTCAGGCATGAAATAAACAAATAAGAAAATCTGGGCTGGGGGTATAGGTTGGTGGTAAAGAGTGTGTTTAGCGTCTGTATGGTCTTGACCCCAAGCCCCCCTCCATGCCCCGTTTGATTCTCAACACCTTATAAAAGTTAACTAGTAAACAAAAGCAAGAAAGGATGGGATTCTGGTGGGAGAGGGTCTTCTTCCTACCAAGGACTCCCCAAGTCCTCCTGTTGTTGGCTGCTTTTTTTAAGTCAGTAATTGCAATCAGATAACCTCTTGGCCAGTGGTCTGGAATGTAACTTAACCAACAAGTTATTAATGCTAATCCCTTCTAGGGAGGAAAGGTCTTGGGGAAGAATCCAAAGAAAGGAATTTGTTTCTGTAGCATTCTCATGAAGTTGCCTGCTAAAAATATTTTTATGGGTTTGGGAAAAGATATTTGTCTTGGCTTATTTTCAAAGTTTTGTTTATTATGAAGTAGTTCTCTAAAAATTGAGCCATTCTGGTTTAAAGTTGTTCTTCAGTCAGCCATGGTTCACCAGGTCAAGCAGGGAGGTTAAAAATAATGCATCAATAACAGCTAATAAAATAATGTAGCCAGGGAGTTTGAGCATGTACAGTTTCTCTATCAAAAGCCTCCTTCTGCAGAAGCTGGGTAGAACCTGACAACTATATTTAATGCTTTCTTTTTCCAAAGTTTCTTCAATGGTTATTTTGATGATATATTTTAAACTCATCTCTCACTGAAGGCTTCCTTGACCACATCTCATTTTGATCTTTATCAGGCCCAAGACAGCCTCAGCCAGGCAGTGGATTCCCTGTCCAAGTGTGTGCAGTGGGCAGATGGCTTTCTGCTGGTCTATTCCATCACAGACTACAACAGCTACCAGTCCATCCGGCCCCTCTACCAGCAGGTCCGTAAGGTCCACCCTGACTCCAAAGTCCCTGTCATCATTGTGGCCAACAAGGGGGACCTTCTGCATGCCCGGCAGGTGCAAACACATGACGGTATGCAGCTAGCCAATGAGCTGGGCAGCCTATTCCTTGAAATATCTACTAGTGAAAACTATGAAGATGTCTGTGATGTGTTTCAGCACCTCTGCAAGGAAGTAAGCAAGCTGCACAGCCTCAGTGGGGAGCGGAGAAGGGCCTCTATCATACCCCGGCCACGCTCCCCCAATATGCAGGACCTGAAGAGGCGCTTTAAGCAGGCTCTGTCGTCCAAAGTCAAAGCCCCCTCCACGGTGGGGTGAACCATCTCAGGCAAACTGTGTCCTTTTTATTATGCAGTTGTGCAGCTAAAAAAGACTGGGCCTCTCCCCTTTTAATCACATGTTCAGAGTTTATTTTTATAAAGATTATTGGTTTTTAAGTGTATGTGTATTTCTGAAAATTCAAACAGTGATTGTCTACAAGTTGGGTAGAATTTTTTTTTAATAAAAGAACTTTTTTTTTTCTAACTGTAACTGCTGGTCACTTTTCCATTAAAGGCAAAATGGCAACATTGCTCTTTGTTTTCTAAGTGCCTTTTTATAGAAATCATACTTGCACCAGAGCCCAGAACTGCTCAATGCTTGTCTTAAGTCTGAACTCTGATTGATGTCATGGGCTAGGGAGGGGGTTCTGTAGAAGGAGTCTGCTGTGGGAGAAGGGAAAGTATGCAGAGGAGGAAAGGGATTTGGATAACTGCAGGATATCTCTAATTAGGGTATTTTGCCACAGTGTGAAATTGACTGTGTTTTTCAAATGAAAGGATACATTGTGAGCTGATACAAAAAGTCAGAAACCATGAGTAATATTTTTATTTATTGGTGCAAATATAAATGTAGTCTCTCTTATCAGTAAGAAAAAGAAAAACACCCTGTTTCCAGGATTCACTTATGTCAACAGGTGGGCTTTGTTGTTCAGGGGTTGCCTCAAAATTCTCCTTCCCTCTCTCTCTCCCTGATCCTCTGTTGCATATTATGGAAATAAGGAGATGATTCAGTTATGATTTCTCAAGTCACACAGTTACTGTTATCCAAAGCACACAGTGCTTAAAGAGGAGGAGAGTGGTATGAACAAAGCAATTATTCCATAGATGAGGTAGGTATGTGGACTACATAGTAAATGAGCTCCAAAATTGTTAAAGTGCTCTTCAATTAGAATATTAGATTGTTAAAAGTCTACTTGTGTTAGGATGGAAACAAGCCTCTGGAAAGGAAAGTAATATAAGTTGAGGTATCCTCCTTTGAGGGGATGCTGGGGATTGAACCCAGAGCTTCGTGGTCTACCACTGAGCTACACTTCCAAGCCCCTGAGGTTTATCTTGTATGAATTTTGGGAAAAGCTGGCTTGAACACTACCATGGAGATGGAGTCATGTGAGGCCCTTTAATGCCGTTGCAAGATACAGGCATTGGCAGGCAAGGCTTTGGAGACTAGCTAATGGGATCACCTTAAAGCCTGAACTCTAGATCTTCAGAGAAGCGGCCAGCAGAATATAAACTTGCTATGGCCTAAGCTCTTAAAGTGACAGTCAATGATATACAACATGCCAATGAGATATAGGATATCTCTGTGTGTTTTGAGGTAGTTGAGGGTAGAGACTAGGTTAGGAATCCATATATGGACTCTGATGAGCTCTTATGTAACATTCCTGAGGGGAGAGGGAGTTCCCTACAAGATGTGGGGTCTGGTAAGATCTTGCACTCTTGAAGGGGTGGGGAATATACTTCAAAACAAAAACAGCACAGAACAAGTTAGGTGTTTGGAATATTCCCAAGCTACATGCCACCTCACATTTCATATGGCCCCAGATCTGTCAGTGCTTTCTCTCCTATATTTCTCTAAAACCTCCTGCTTTATTCCAGCTCTTTATGCTCTTGTATAGACTGATGAGCAGGAGTCTAAGCAAGACTCTGGTTTCTTGGCCTCTGGAATGATATCCCTCCAATTCTTTCTTTATAGCAGAACATTCCTAAACCTCTATAATCATTTTACTTCCATGACTGAAAGAAACTCAACTGCTTTCCTTTTATCTACTGGGTAAAATATAAATAGTACATGGCTTTAATATGATTATTTCTCTAGTGTCATCATCCATTCCCTGCTAAACATACACACAAGAGTATAGACACAGACACACACACACACACACACACACACACACGCACGCACACACACCCCAGAGCCTTAAGCAGTTCCTCCCCAAACAACAGTCTGCCTTTCTTGGTATACTCTAGGATCTTTCTTGGTATACTCTGTCTCTCTGTCTTGGTATAAAGTACACCTCCATCACAAATATGTTTTCTTGTTCTGTACGTAAGGGCTCAATCAATGACTCATCTTCCAAGACTTAAATCATAGGCTAGAACCACCACCATCCCCCAAAAAAAATTCTAGGCATGGTTGCACATGCCTATAATCCCAGCACTTGAGAGGCTAAGGCAGGAGGATTTCTGCAAATGAGAAGGGCTACATAGTGAGACCCTGTCCCCCCACCCCACCCCCAAAGTGACATGCTAAATACAGCTCCAGAGTGCCTTCTCTTTTTCTCCCTCGATCCCTGTAGCATTTGTGTTATAACCCAACTGTGTCAAGTAGCTGCTCATGGTTTCAAAGGTTTCAGCCCATGGTCACTTAGGGACATGGGATTAGGCCCTGCGGTGAGGCAGTGCATAATGGCAGTAGTGCCTGGCAGAGAGACTGCTTACTCATGACAGCTGGAAAGAGAGCTCCACAGGCTGACAAACAAACCCTTAACACTTGGGTCTCTGTGAGACATTGCTGATCCAAGCTAGAACACTACAAATATCAAATGGAATAAAAGACTAAGAAAATTAGATAACTCATGTCTAAAGTGTCCAAATAATTAAAAATATTATTTTAGACTCTATTATCTTTTAAAAAGTGCCATAGGTCCCCTTGCTAGTTTGTATATTCTCAAACAAAAGTAGATCTTTCTATTCATTATGGATTCCAGCTTTCCTACCATACATCTTAACACTATCAGTATAGGCAAAAGAGTAACCAATCCTCCTAATCTTGCTATGCCTACAGCCATGTCCAGATTACCAGCTGGTGCCAGGGGCCTCTCTTGCTGTCAAGGATATGAGATCAAATATCCCATGCGGAAAACTTTAAGTGTAACATAAAAGCTAAACAACTCAAGAGGTGTCGTAAGCAGTCTATGATCAAGTTTCAAGTATTTCAAGGTGAGTAAAGTCACCTTGGGCCCTCCAGGGGAAGAGCAGGCTGTGGACCAGAGGGATCAAAAGATAAGTCCCCAGACAGTTTGAAAGGGAATCACAGCTTTCATAAGCACAGACAGAGTAGACAGTGCTACAAACTGTTTTTCTTGAGTTTCTATGTTTTTCTTGTGTTTCTATGTTTTTCTCAGCATCCACAAATAGTGGGACCCTCATGGTTATCTTTCAAGATCACTGGTTCCCAGAACTAGCCCAGCAGAAAAGCTACTTCGCTGGTTTCGGAGAGAGCTCCATGTCTATTGTCTGTCTTTCCCAGTCTCCTGCTGATTAGGATCTCTTGGGTCTCATGGCACTTAGGGAACATCTGAAATGTCCCTGAGATAGTAGCTTTGGAGATGGAAGATGTAAGCATGGAGTTATCAGGAAGTAGCTATAGTGGGAAGTTGTTGAATTTGCATGTGGAAATGAGAAGCTGAAGATATAAGCTTAGCCAGGCACTGAGGAAGCATTTTGAGGAGAAACTGAGCTTCAAAAGTGGAGAGGGAAGAACCACTAAAGATGTGGGTGTCATTGTTTTGCTCATATAGTGGAACTTCTGAAATATTGGGAAGAACATCAGAACTTGGATGGATGTGAAGAGGACAGTGTCCATACATTGTTGCTCATGGCTTGCCTTTCCTCTGAGACACCATAGCCAAGGTGAATATTACCTACACCTTCAGGAGGGTGGTGGGGCCACATCTTCCCTTGGTCCTTGCTATAGTTTGGATGAGGAATGTCCCCCAAAGCCCATGTGTTAAAGTCTTAGCCCTCAGTGTGGCACTATTGTGAAATCTTTAGGAGGCAGGGCCTAGTGGAAAGTCTTTAGGTCAATGAGAACATGCCCTCAAAGGGACTGTGGGGCCCTGATCTCTTTCCGTTTTTCTTCTGTGTCCCAGCCATGAGGTGAACAGCTTTCTCCACTACATGCTTCCACTGTAATGTCTGCTTCACCACAGACCCAAAACCAACAGGATCAACTGACCATGGACTTAAACATCTAAAACTGTGAGACAAAAATAAAACTTTCCACCTTATATCTCAGGTATTTGTCATAATAACAGAAAGCTGATCAAGGCAGTCCTTCTTTACTCTCCCTCCCTCCACTCCCTGCCTCAATCTTAAGTTTTTGTTTTGTAGTGCTAGGGAGTGAACACCCCTTCACATACTAGGCAAGTACTCTACCACTGACCAACACTTGGTAGCTTCAAAATTTGATTTTGAGAAATCTCTGTCCATTACTCATCCTCCTCTCGTTAAAGCTCAGTTGTTGATTCTGTTCTAAAACTCTGCAGAATGATTTAATTAATGTTTGAACAGTGGAGTGCTGGAGAAATGGATGAAATCCAAATGGCTAAATTGTACATCCTGCAAACATTCTGTACTTCACATGCAACTCATCGCAAGCAAACTGGAATAATGGAAAATGAATCAATTATAACAGAAGAAAATAAATTCGTTTTGCGTCTGTTGAAGTGAAAAACAAAATGGAAGTTCTAAAGTTTATTAATATCTGTTTAGAGAAATAAATCAAACATTTGTGGAAAGCTGGGGTAACAATATAGCAAATAGGAAAGATAAGATGACTATTTAACTATTAACTTTTGGCTCAAATAGCTCTTTTGCTACAGGTATATGTTGTAATTTTAAATTCGTATTATGCAAAGCTACCAATTCAAACTCGCATTCAATGATATTTTGCCTAATGAATAAGATGTTCTTATCCCTTGGTGTCTCTTCAGAAGGTGGAATATTTTGGAAGACTGTTAAAATTAGTCTCAAGCTATTTTGAAGGATGTGATAAAGGAAAAGAAAGATTTTTTTCTAAACAGGATTTTAGCTAGAGCTCTAGGAAAAATTAATCTATGTAAGGGATGATGATTTGGCTGCAACAGGAGAATGGTTCTCAGCAGAGGAGAGTAAATATTCAGCTATTCTGGATAAAATTTATATATACCTCTCACATCAGAATGCCCTCATATAGGAAATAAAAAATGTGGTTAAGGCTTAACTATTTTAAAAATGTATTGCAGCAAAAGGCATACCACCATTGATCCTCCTCAAAACACTTCCCTTCACTTACCCCATTGTCCTTGCCACTTTCCAAAGCAGCTCTGGAGGTCCTCTTTTATGTCTTTAGTAGCACTGCTACAGCTGTCTCCAAGTGATGAAAACATTCAAAATACTTACCTTTCATGGTCATTTTGACTTTGGGGAAGAGCAGAAATCACATCAAGCTAGATCCAGTGAATAAAGTGGATGAAGAGGCACTGCAATGTTTTTATGAGCCTGCTGGCACTAAGTGGCAGAATTCACCATATTTTTTGACATAAAGACACAAAAGAGGGCTTCCAGAAATGCTGCAGAAGGTAGAAAGAATGGTGGAATAAGTGTGTTTGAAGCAAGAGGAAGTATTTTGAGGAGGATTAATGGCAATAGATCTTTATTGTAATAAATTCTAAAATTTTAAATATTTACCATATAGTTTGATCTTCCCTTGTACTTCTATTCCAACTGAAAATCAGTCCACTAGGGTTGGGATGGATTGGCATTCATCTTTGGCTCCATGTGTTGGATTGTCAAATACAGAGCAGATCCTCAAAAGTATTTGTTAAGCTGAACCATTAGATAGTCTTTAAACTTATTTTTGGACCATTTAGGAGTACAGGTGTATATATCACTATTCTGGTTTTTTTTCCATGAAACTGTCTGAGGCAGCTCCTTTTCTTTTTTTTAGCAGGAAAGTAAACATTCTTCAGAGAAGGGCTACTTAAACAAAATGCATGCTTTTAAAATACTAAACTATCCCTCAGATTTATGGGATTAACAAACATACTAGGGAATTAGGAGTTACTTAGTGTGTCAGTCTTCCAGGCTACGAAATTCAGATAACATACTAAGAGATAGGAGGGTGAGAACTCAGCACAGCCTTCAAAGACTCTGTAGTCTGCAGAGATACCAAAAAGCCAAAGTCGAACAAACAAACAAACAAAAGCTCAAGATCATTAAAATCAAACCCTGTGAAGCAGAGCAGATCTGCCCTTCTCCAAAATCCAATTAAGATCTTTCCCAGATGATAAGGAACAAATTCCAGGCGGTAAGAGAAAAATGTATGCATAGAATAGTCACTGATATAACTTCTATTCACCTCTATTTTACTAACATAGTAAAAATCATACCCTGAGGCGGAGTCTTAAAATGGTGAAGAGACAAGTGTCTCATGAAGAGACATGGTAAGGAAGAGAGCAGGCACACCTAAAACTCCATCTGTACATGAGGTGACATCCAGAAGCCAAGGTCCTGCCTGCCCTTATGTGATTTAAAAGCTGTACACCTTTTTCCTTTGTTTGGCTCAGCTTGGGATTTCTTTGTTCCATGTGCCACCTCCCTACACCTTTGTGCCTGAGAATAAAACTACAAGCCTGGTTCCTGTGCTATGGTGCTTTTATCTGAAATTGGGTGTGCTGTGATTTGGTGCATATATGTTTGTAATTGTTATCTCTTCCTTTTGAATAGTTCTGTTAACCATTACATAATGTTCTTCTTTGCCTCTTTTGATCAGCTTTGGCTTGAAATCCACTTTTTCTGAAAATTGGATAATTGCTCCTGCTTATTTTTGGATTCCCATTGCATGGGTTATTGTTTTCCACGTTTTGATTTTTAGTCTATGAATTTCTTTTTGTGTTAAATGTGTTTCTTGTATGCAGAAAAACATTGGGTTTTATTTCTTGATCCATTTTGCTAATCTATGTCTTTTGATTAGTGAGTTAAGTCCTTTTACATTATAGTTATAATTTATAGACACTGACATTCCTATTATTGTATTAAGTTTCTGCTGCTGTTTTACTTCTTTTCCTGCTACTTAATTACTAGCCCTATGTGATGCATTCATTTTATTGGGCCTTTGACATTCTTAGCTTCATTGTCTCCTGTTAGGATGTCTTTAAGGATTTTTTTGAGTATTGGTTGGGTGGTCATACATTTCTTTAGGTTTTCTTTATCATGGAAATATCTTATTTCTCCATCAGTGAGGGATAATTTTGCATGATATAGGAGTCTGGCTTAGAAGTTGTTTTCTTTAAGAGCTTCCAACACTTCATTCCATGATCTTGCCTTTAATGTTTGTGTTGAGAAATTTGTTGTAATTCTGACAGGTTTTCCTTTGTAGATGATTTGTTGCTTTTCTCTAGCAACCTTTAAGATTTTGTTCTTGTGTTGTATTTCTGTTATTTTAATTATTATGTGGTGTGGAGTGGGTTTTTTCTGACTGTGGCTATCCATGGTTCTATATGTTTTATGTATCTGTATGTTCAATTCTCTTTCCATGTCTGAGAAGTTTTCTGCTCCCATTCTTTTCTATGCTGGGCATTCATGTTTTTCATGTCTTTCTTTAGCTCTACTAGCTGTTTATTAGTGTCTTTTCTAGATTTGCTGGTATTTGTTTCATTGTTCTCATTATGTGATTAGTTATATCTTTTTAAAATTTATCAAGCGCCTTGTAGAACTGTTTTACCTCCGTTAGTTTCCTTTGAGACCTATCTGCTGTGTAGCTTATGATTTCCTTCCTGTCGTTGCCCCCTGTACTGATTTGAGTTGCAAGTTTTGGGAGGCATCTTGTAGCCTTGTCTTTTCATGTTTCTGTTTGTTTTGTGTTGTACTTTTGGTACTGGGGATTGGACTCCGGTCCTTATGCTTGTAAGGCAGGTGGCGGAACCACTGAGCTAAATCCCTGGTCCTTTTTGTTTGTTTTTTTGTGCTAGGGTTTGCAGATTCTTTGGTCCAGTGCCCCATTCTTTGGGATTGAGTCACAGTATTATTTATGACCTCTGGGCAATCCTGGTATTAGCATGGAGAGAAAATCAATTACCAGCCACCACTATGTTACCCTGTCTATGGTAGTAAATTCAGTAGCAGTGGCACCAAATGTCAGCTAGATATTGACAAACCCTAGGAACCACTCAAGCACAACCCTTCACCAAAACAAAGAGGACTCTGATTTTAGTAAAAGCAATTAGCTCCCCCCCTGTATTTACCTGTAATAATTCAGAGCACTTTTTGGTGGATATTGACAGCAGTGCCAGAGCTGAAACATAACACTAGATTAAATGTCTTCTTCTTCAGGACCACCCCCTCTGGTGATTATTCCCGCTGAACCTGGCCTCCCACAACAGAATATAGGCCCCACCCAGGGGATCCCGGGAGATGCTCATTTACCTGTCACTCTCTCCAAGCCTATCTTCCAAGACTGTCTTTCACAAAGTCTCTGTGGAAGGGTATGCCTTCAGTCTTTTATCTAGACTTTTCTCCTGGGTGTTGGGCCCTTCTTCAGTCAGGTCTGTCTGTTGATTGTCAAATCTTTTGCCTTGTGCTGTGGAGAAGCCAGGGACCAGAAGTGGGATACTCCTTTCCTGAATCCTCTGGGTCAGCTGCAGGCCAAAGTGCTTTTGTCTGATTCTTTCAATAAAATGAGAACCCAAGGAATCAGTAACACCTTCATTCTCTCCCCTATCAATCATGACAAACATGATCAAATCACATTTACTGAATACCAGTATCACATTTGTTGAGTACCTGTTTCATGCAAAACCCAGTGCTGAATGTTGCTGTATCAACACAGCCCTCCTTCCCAGAACTCCGTGCGTGGAGTTCAGGGTGCACAGGCCTGAAGGTGCAGGTTTTGTGGGGTGAGTTGTGATGTAAGACCTTGACTCTATCTGAGGGTGTTAAAAAAAAACCTGTGGAGAGACAAGTTTCAGAGAGCTGAGTGGGCAGTAAGAGGAATCCTCCCAAGTATGTAATTTCCTTTTCAAAAGATATTCCTACTTTACAAATTGTAGAGCACTATTTTCTTGGAGGCCTGTGCTCAGTGAAGAGTTCAAACATAGACTACCATTTCTCATTGGCATTTTCTATTTAAGTTAGAAGAATGTTTTTTTGAGGGTGGGTTTTGAGACAGGGTCTCACTATGTAGTTGAGACTGACCTGGAACTCACTATGTGGCCCAGGCTGGTCTTGAACTCACAGTGATCCTCCTGCCTCAGCCTCCTGAGTGTTGGTATTACAGGTGTGCACCACCACACCCATCTAGAAGAGTATTTTTAATTATAAGGATTTAGCCTATAAACAGATTTTGCCTAGAGATACTAATGTGAATTTTTAATTCTAGAAAAATGGGCATTTTAGGAGCTCTTCTGGATGAACAGCATTGTGGAGGTGGGATAGGTGGGTTCCTGAGTGAGGCCTGAGTTCAAATTCCAACTTTGCCATTTGGTGGACCTGTGACGTTGAACAAGTTTCCATATCTTTTCTTTAAGACAAGTTTCCAGGGGCCGGGGATTTAGCTCAGCGGTTCGGTGGCCTGCCTTGCAAGCGCAAGGACCTGAGTTCAATCTCTGGTACAAAAAAAAAAAAAAGTTTCCTTACCTTAAATTGGGGATGATATTGCCCATCAGGCAGAATTGTTGGTAGAACATGACCCATATAAGGTGCTCAGGAAGGTGCCGTGTATTTTTTTTTAAAGGCACATGGTTACATGATGCA